TTATAAACTTTTATATGGTTGATAAGGTACATCAAGATCATTATTACTACTCGGAGACTAAATCCAAATATATAGATGGTTTTAAAAGGTTCTAAACGGTATTTATATGGTTTTTATAAGGTTTTTAAAAAGTTTACAAAGTTTTTATAAGCTTTTTATATGATTTTTAAAAGGTATTTATATGGTACATATGAAATATATATATAAATTTACACACATGTAAAGATAATTTGTATCTATAAATATAAGTTTATACATATTTTTTTGATAAATTTCAAATTTTATAGTGACTTTTTGATAAAATTAGAAAGAGGGGTATTTTTAAAAAGTGGTATTGGAAAAGAGGTATTTTTGAAATTCCCCCTTATATTTTTCATCCTTGTAGTATATATAATAGATAGAAAATGGAATATCAAATTGTTTTTAGATAGGAAATCAAGTATAAAATTCAAAGTTAAAACAAATTATAATATTCTTTATATTATTACATGTTGCATCACAAACTAAATATAAGGATCATTTTTCTTAAAAGAATGTCTTACAAATTGGTTTGATAATTATATAACAAAAAGTTTATTTTGTTAAAAAATTACATACTTTTGAAAATAAATTAAATATACATGAATATGTGAGAAAGAAACAAACATCCATAGTAAAAGAATGAATATGGTTTCTTTATCTTGATTTTCTTATAACCATAAAATATTATTATACATATGTATTACATTTAAAAATATAAAAAACAATGAAGACATAAAGAAATACATAAAAATGAAAAATTAATAAAATTGAAAACAAAAGTTTAAAATAAATAATTAATCAAACTTTTATAATGATATTTTAATGAGTTTTCACCCCATGCAAGACTTTTAAAAAAACAAAGAAAATAATGAAGATATGAGATATGGTAGAGAATGATGTGAGAATGGCTATTTATATGATAAAAAGTGATGTAAGTTACATTTTAAAATAATTAAATTAGAGGAGTTATAATTATAATTTATAGTGTGTTTAATTGGAATTCAATAAAGAAAACCAATAGTCTTTGGAAATTTATATAATTTAAAGTATGAATTAATGTATATGATTAAATGTGTTTTGTTGGTTAAAAATAAATATTATATTTTAAAAAATAAATACAAAATGGAACAATAAAGAGAGTGGAACCTTACTTTTATATATATGATTTTAAACAATTTTCCACCAATAAGGCTTATAAAATTTGTTGTATGATATATGATTAAGTCCTTTCATTTTCTTTGTCATTTGATTATAACTTATAGTGTAATTAAATTTTGTATTAAATGATTGTCATAAACATTTATTTATTTATTTATTTTGTTGAATGATATATGATTAAGTCCTTTCATTTTGTTTGCCATTTGATTATAACTTATAGTGTAATTAAATTTTGTATTAAATGATTGTCATAAACATTTATTTTTTTATTATTTTTTTTTTAAATTAAAGTCTTAAATATTTTTCATCAATAAAAAAAGAGTGGAACCTTACTTTTATATATATGATTTTCTTTCTCTCTCTTTTTTTTTTTTTTTTAATTTGGTTTCTACTGGTACGTCGCGGATGGAAAATATCTTGGATGTGAATTATAGTTGGTTGAAATCATAAAAGGAAAACCACAAGTTAGAAATATATTGAGGCCGAGCCGTCCATCTGGTTTATAGAGCTAGCTCAACAACCATACATGGGTTTTAAAGCCCATTATACCTTTAGTCACAACCAACACATGTATAATATGTATGTACATACCAAAGTAAACAATAATAATATAGCAACGCAATTCCAACTAATTCTTTTTTTCTTTTCACAATTCCAATTAATTAAAAATGGTTAAAAGACTCTAGCAGATAAATGAGAAAATCTCAGCTGAAAAACAAAGAAAAGAAAAGGTATACGCATAATTAAATAAACTACCACCTTCAAACTTATTTTAGTTACACTTGGTGGATATATATGGACCTCTCTATATTCCTATTATATCCACTCTATATATATATATATACATACAATACAATTATCTTTTTCTATAAGCTGAATAAGATGTACATATATATAATATTAATAGGGATATATACAGTATGTGGTGTGGTGTGACGAGAGTTATTATGTATAATTATAATCATCCACCGTCACCAACCATCCATCCACCTGATTTTCACGTCTCGTTTATTCGTTAGGAAAACACATCATAATGAAAATACTTTTAACGTTTTTATTTATCTACTGTATCTCGTATCTATGATCTTTACTCTTCTGAAATTAATAATAATAATAAAAAATCTCATACTTATACCGTTTTTTTAAGTTTATCAGAATTGTTACATATGGAAAGTTTTTAACTTGTTCTTTGGTCGTCAATAAATCTATCAAAAAAATAATAATAATAATAAATAAATCGTCTATACGTTGCCATCAAGGTGATCTTAGTTACATCTTACTCCTTAATACGTTAAATTAAAATTAAATACTTATCAAACATATTTAATGAATACATTATCAAGAAGAAGAAAAAAGGTGGAAGGTGAACCAACAAATCCCACGTCCCCCAACCGCATACGGACCTATATAATAGTATAAATTATGTAACCCTTTTTAATATCTTATGTTTACTTCAAGAAAATGACAAATTAATCAGTACACTATATTTTTTTAAAAAAAAATTAGTATATTATAACGCTTCTATAGTATTATATTTACCCCCCCCCCCCCCCAAAAAAAAAAACAAAAACAAAAACAAAATAATTGTGTGGTATATCATCGCAGATCGCTATTTCTTACACGTCAATTACAGTACCATTAGTGCTAGAACCAAAAAATTAAAGTAAAAAGTAATTAAGAAAATAAAAAGGAAAACAACAGAAAGAATAATTTACCATATAACAAACAACTATTTATTCCCATTATGTTTAATAGTAACGTTTTGCATGAAGTCTTAAGTCTTTTAATTTAGTTGAAAAACAAGAAAGAACAAAAAAAAATCAATTAATTTGGGTATATGATAGTTTATGAACGTGAAAAAATAAATAAAAGTGATGTGTGGTTTTTTTATTTTGATTCGTTAAGTAAAATGAAAATTTGAAAATTTTTTCCTGGTGTTGTTGCTGATTAAAGAAAGAAAGAAAGAAAGAAAGAATCTTGGCCTCTAGCTGAGAAACTAAACGTTCTAGAAGAGAGCCCATCATCATGCATGAGAGTGATTTGTATTTGTATTTGTATTTGTATTTTATACCCAAAATATTAAAAGATTAAAACAAATTGTGTTAATCAACTACTCTCTCTCTCTCTCAGTCTCTTTTTCGGGTTTCTTTTGTCCCATCCTTTTCCAATAAAATACCATTTATTTATTTTTCGTTTTCTACTCACATTTTTTCACCTAACTTACCAAATTTCACAATATTAATTAACACATAGTAGTACATTTGTTCCAAAATATAAAATAAAAAGATATGTTAAGTCTTGGTTTTCAAGTCTCTCTCTCTCTCTCTAATACTAATAAGAAGTTGGTTAGAGAAAACCAATATATATATATATATATATAAGTCAAGGTTCTAGAAGACAGATTATTTTAATTCAGATACTTTATCTTATTAATTTTATATATGTGATTCATTTCTCTTTAGTGGTTCTTGTTGTATTTGTTGTTTATTTAGAAATATAATTATATATACAGAAATAATAAAGAAAGAGGAGCATCATCACTAAATATATAATTTAAAAAGCTACAGTAGAGTAGTAGTGATTTGTCATCCGAAAGAAAACCATGGAGTATATTAAATAAATAGATTACTACAATAGTTACCATATCATATGTCCACCCACACATTGGTTAATTAGCGAGAGGAATACTGATTAATTGTACATATTAGGGTTTAATGAGATGTAGTAATAAATTATCTTCCATAGTTTGATTAACAGAAGTTAATTAAAAAGGAGATATTAGAGAAAAGAGAACTGTTGACTAATACAAAACCAGTTCAGAAGCTAAAAGGCTGGGGCTAAATATAGTTGACATATGATGACGACGATGCACTTGTCCTTCAAAAAAACACTCATTAACTTTACCACCTACCTCCCCACATATGTACAGTATTCTCTTTTTTTTTTTTTTCATTTTTATTACTCTCTCACTGTAAAGTACTCTAGGTTAAAAAAAAAAAAAAGAAGCGATTGACAAAATTCGTTTTGGGTTTAATTTCTGAATATTTCACGGTTTCTACATATGCCCTAATTCCATCTTCCTCTTCTTCTTCTTTTTTTTTACCTCCTGATTCATGCGAGTACGTATGATTAGCAAGCTAGAGAGACCAAAAAAAAAGTTGGTAAATAATTATGATTAGGTATTAATATGAAATTTATTTGATTATAGAGCGATTATAATAAGAAAAACTGTTGTCATGATGATAATAATAATAAAGAAATGGAATAGCTTTAACAAAATGAAAGACCATGATGCCATATATGTCAAGCTTCTCACTTATTGTACCAAAACGAAAGGCCACCATACACTACTACTTACTCATTCAAATCCATCCCACCAACTCACATCTAGAAGCAATTTATAAAGTTCAACTCTCCTTTCTCTCTCATCATCTAGAAGCAATAATTTTATGTGTGTATGTATATGCTCTTGTGTCCAGCTTTAAGTCAAAACCCTATATATATATATAAAAACTAGTAGTATACACCAAAGCTTTTGAACCTTTAACCAAACCCAAAAATCCAAGTGCCCCACCAATTGCCCTTCGATCCTCTCCCACTACAAACACACACACACACACACAAATTAATCCATTTATACCCTTTTAGCCAAAAAAAAAACCCTCATTAAAAAGACGATCCCCGATTGTTTATATAAAATAACAAGAGTACAACTGATCATCCTATTGTATATATATTTAAGATTTTGTATCTAACCATCAGGAAATCATAAGATCTCTCTCTATACCACACCCACACACACACAAGAAGAAAAAAAGAAAGATATGGGAAGGTCACCGTGTTGTGAGAAAGCTCACACAAACAAAGGAGCATGGACGAAAGAAGAGGACGAGAGGCTCATAGCTTACATTAAATCTCATGGCGAAGGCTGCTGGCGATCTCTTCCTAAAGCCGCTGGACTTCTCCGCTGTGGTAAAAGCTGCCGTCTCCGCTGGATCAACTATCTCCGCCCTGACCTTAAGCGCGGCAACTTCACCGACGAAGAGGACGAGCTCATCATCAAGCTCCATAGCCTTCTTGGCAACAAGTGAGTCCATATATATATATTCTTTAATTATATAAGTCTATATATCCCTCCCTTTCTATATATTAGAACTATATATAGTGTCGTACCACGTTTTCCATGTCCCTAAACGATAGAATCTTCTTGTTGATAGATGGTCGCTTATCGCCGGGAGGTTACCAGGAAGAACAGATAACGAGATTAAGAACTACTGGAACACACATATACGAAGAAAGCTTATAAACAGAGGGATTGATCCAACCACCCATAGACCAATCCAAGAATCATCATCAGCTTCTCAAGATTCTAAACCTATACCGCAACTAGAACCAGTTACGAGTAGTAACACCATTAATATCTCCTTTGCTTCTGCTCCAAAGGTCGAGACGTTCCAGGAAAGTATAACTTTTCCGGTAAAGCCAGAGAAAATCTCAATGCTTACGTTCAAAGAGGAGCGCCCAGTTGAAGAGAAGTTCCCAGATTTGAATCTTGAGCTCAGAATCAGTCTTCCCGATGAAGTCGATCGCCGCCAAGGCTTACTCGGGAAGTCAACAACGCCGCGTTGTTTCAAGTGCAGCCTGGGGATGGTAAACGGCATGGAGTGCAGATGCGGAAGAATGAGATGCGATGTAGTTGGAGGTAGCAGCAAGGGCACTGATATGACTATGAGCAATGGATTTGATTTTCTAGGGTTGGCAAAGAAAGAGACCACTTCTTTAATGGGTTTTCGGAGCTTGGAGATGAAATAATCTCATTTTTTTAGGCGTAACTGTACAAAGCTTTTGCCTAGAGTAAGTATATCTGAAGGTATAATCTTCACTTTGTATGCGACAAAAAAAAAAAAAAAAACCACTTCACTGTTGATGAATTTTAAAATATAAAATATATATTTTATTTTTTACTTACAAAGAATTACTCCATTACAAAAAGATATTAAATTATGAATTAATACATGTAGACAGATCCATATAGTGATAATGTAGATAGATTATAAATTGAGATTAGTATATGAGATGAGAGGCAAGAGGTTGGTTGCCCGAAAAACTCATAATCCAATGTTGGAGATGAGCCATATAAGGAGAAAAAAAGAGGTTATTGGTATGGCAAGATATATACAATTCATCATCACATGATACTTAATTATTTAGATTACAAGTGAGGTTTTGTAGTTAATTTGGCACGAGTAGATAGAAGAGAGAAGAAGAAACTTAAATGTTTATAGATATATATATAAAAAAAATAGGAAAGAAAAACCATAACAATAATAATAATATATAATAAATGAAGGAAGGGAAGCAACAACCAATGGACCCTTTCTTCTTCTACCAAACTCAATTTATATCTCTCACTACCCATCTCCCTACCAACCTATATACCAACCTTTCCTCATCTTTTGTCCACTTGCGAGTTGCGACCCACACACATATTATATATATATATATATATATATATATATATATATATATATTATATTCATGAATGCATATTTCAATACACACATGCCTATATATAACATACATACATTGATATAGATATGATCCACAATATGTATGCATTGCATGGGAACCCAATATGTATAGGAGGGGTCGGAGTTTTCCAGTGAATGTAGCCAACACATACATATGCGTTATTGCGTTGAAATTAGAAAGAGTGACTGAGATCGTAAAGTAAAGTAAAAACATTGTTTCAATGGTAATAAGATGCTTGGCGAAGGTGGAGATTTACACAGTTTTACCATATATATATTGATGGAAAAAGAAAAGAAAAAGATATTTGGAGATGAAAGAGATGGGAGAGGGAGGAGTGGCGATGAGAAGAACTGAAGAAGATAAGGGAAAAGGGAAAAAGGACAAAAAAGAAGAAGAAGATGATCTGACCTGACCACACACAAGTGAACGAGACAGACGCACCTGCCTCTTCTTCTTTCTTTCTTTCTTTTTTTCTTCTTTTATTCAGAAACGACTTTTTCCAAAGGTGTTAGGTAGATGCAATAGAAGCTTCTACTACTACTAGTTCTTTCTTTTCTTTAATGGTTTTTTTTTTAGTTGTTGTTGCGACGAGTCTTGTGATCACTCTCTTTTTGTCTTTCCCTTTCTTTTCTCTTTTAAGGCAAGTAAGATATACACATATACATATATATATATATATGTATAAAAAGTCTTTAACGGTCGCTCGCTATTGTCTCTACTTGATTGATAGTTCCGTTTTGTGTAGCTTTTATATATATACACACAGACGTCAATGATCAAATTTACAGTTTGGAATTCACATACTTTCAATCAATATAATCGATTGCAAGGTATAAATCTCACCCAACCTTAGAACCCAGATTAGATTACTTAAGTTATAGCGGTGTGCACATTTCAGTGATCCCTTATATTTTATAAGTTCTTTTTCTTTTTAGTGGATTTGAGTTAAAAACAGAATTTTGTGGAGAAGCCATAATAGATCGAAATCAGAAACTGATGGGCTTACTTTCTAACAACCTATTGAGCAAAAAGCCCAACGAAATTAAGACGGAAGCTTCGTGTGACTCGTAAAATATCAACAACATTATAGAAATTGCGAGAGAGATAGAGAGAGGAAACAAACTTAAAAAGTTCACAAAAGGTAAAGAGATTAATTTAACAATCAGTTCCCAATCTCTCTATCAAACCAAAGAAACAAGAGGAATTATTTTTTCCAGACTTAGAGAGCCATATGAGATGAAACGTCTTCTCCTTTCTTCCTTCCTCACTTCTTCTTCTCATCCTCACCTTTGCTACTACTCTCTTCTTCCTCGTTCCGCTGCCATTTTAACCAATTTTACAATATCAGAACCTTCTTTATCAAATACCACAAAAGAATGAAAAACCCCCAACAAAACTGCACCTTTGATTCGTCTGGCAGAGACGCTAGCAGCGCTTTCACCGCTGGATCATTTGGATCCACTCCTGGAAGCTGTGTGTATGTTCACAAAACACTTAGGGACCAATACTATACTTTTCTCTTTCTTTTTGCTTGTGATAAATCCTAACGACTCACTGATTTAAGTGAAAAAAAAAAGACAAAAAAGCTTACCGATGAGAGCACAGACGATATGAAGGCTTGATCTCCCAAGAGGTTTCCAGCTCCTGCAGCTTCACTTGACTCTTCCCCACTCATCGACATTTGCAGAGCTGCACATGGATCAAGACAAATACAAGTCCCTTTCATCAAATCCCCCCAAAGGTATCCAATTTATCTTATAAATGTTGTTATACTTTTTTTTAGAAGTAAAAGCAAATTTTAATTGCCATAATTATACTTTTACCACACAGTTATTCTTACCTAAAGCCAGATCCTGGTCCTCATCAGCCGCTTCTGACATGTTGACATCACCTACAGACATAGCAATTGCCTGATCTAGCAACGCATTGTCCTCATCCTGCCACAAAATCTTTGATAGTAAGAAGGTTGTATGATAATAAACAGTCTCTCCACCTTCGGCTGTATAAGAATGTGACACGCAACATAGAAACATAAAAGCGCACAAAACAAGTAACAACTAACCATTGGTTCAGCGTTCTTCTCAGTTGTCCTTGCAACTGTCTCCTGGGAGGCAGAGGCTGTGTCCCCATCTTTGTCTTTCTGACCTGCCTCATCTGCTGCCTTCTTAGCAGCAGCCTCCTGTCTTGCTCTTTCCTCCTCCATGGAGACCCGAAGGGCGAGAGCAAGCTCTGGATCGATATTTGGGTCCACACCAAAGTCAAAGTCCCCACCTGCTGCAGCTGCAGCAGCTGCCGCAGAAACATATCCACTTGCACCCTCATCACCCGTGAATACAGGTGTGCTGAAAGTAAATAGTTAACACACCATGAAGAAATTTTCAGTCACAGACACCACGATAATAACGCCTGTCTAAATAATACAAATTGTGCAGTATTGATAAAGGCCAGACACCCGAGTTCAAAAACTGCCTAAACAAATCACATGCAATGGCATCCTAGACAATGTTATACTGTTCACATAAACTAGAAAAGTTCAGTAAAAACGAAGAAAGTAGATGGTACCTGAGCAGCACATCTGAGAGAGCATTAGCTCCAGATGGAACATGAACAATGTGGCTACCATCATTATTATTCACAGCTGAAAGGAGCGCCTCCAGCTTCTGAGGCTTTTCCTCATCCTCATCTTCCCCAAAATTGACAATGTCAAGAGAGACACTATTCTTCTTAAGCCTTTTTCCAACTATTTCTAGGGCCTTCTTTTCATACTTGATTGGGCTAAAAGACAGAAGCATAACACAAACATCAGATAACTAAAAAAAAACTAGTCTGTCTGCGTGCACACAAGAAGCTGAAGTACCTTCCAGCGAAAACTATAATCCTTTGGCGTTGGTTCTTGTTTTGGCGATGCTTAAGAGCTAGCTGAGCAATTTGGATGGCCGCTGTTAAGTTGATCTCTCCTCCCACATCAAGGCCTGAAATTATGAAGCAAGTAGCGAATTGATGTCAAACACAATGGTTCCTAAAAAGGACATGATTCTTTCAAGTTGCTGCTCAATAATAAATCACAAAGATAGGTGAGACAGAGACATACCGTGCATACAGGCCAAAATTTTGCCAAGATCAGAGGTAGGCGTAGTCAAAACTCGAACTCCTTTGCCAGCCATTGTCAAAATCCCCACCGTATTCTCCGGATTGGACTAAAAATTGCAAACGAAAGATCCCTAAATCACAATCTGACGCAAACACAAAACCCTAAATCGAATTCAAAGTGAAATACGTTGGATTGGATTAGAAGTAGAAACCCTATACCTGGGTTTTCGCTCCACAAAGAAGATTTACAGCTTCTGTCTGAGCCTGTAACCTAGACGGAGAGTAATCGCCGTTTCGCATCCACTCGGAGTTGTCGATGCATATCATAGTCGCCTACGCAGGAATCAAAAAAGATTAAAATTAAGCATCCAACATGGAGATCAACGAAAAGAAACCAAAGGATTTCAAAAAATCACCTCGAGAACCATTGTGTCGTCGTCGTCCAAGAGAGAAGCTTCGTAATTTGTCGTAGAGAGAAAGTCAGGAAGGAAGCAAAAGGCACACTTCTAAGATTTAGATTTTTGGTAACTTTGTGCTTCTTTAAATAGTGCCTATTATTTCTTTCTTTCTCCTTTCAGACCCCATTATTTTACGTTTATTTTTATTTTGCCCAAATTGGATGTTTATGACAATTAGCAAAACTAAGTTGATATTTTAATAAATAAAAGATACAGAGACCCCCCATTAACAATCATTCCTAAAACTACGTCCTTTTTTTATTCAAGATATAACCCCATAACTCTACAAAACGTCGATATAAACCCCGACCAAGAAGACGAAACGACAATTTCACCAGATTCACTCTCTCTCTCTACTCAGGAATTTACAATAGTGTTAAAAAGACCAAAAACAAATACAACAACCAGAGACGTTGAATCATGTTCTGCTATGCATTAAGTGCATTTGGGATTAGAGACGATCTTGTGCTTCTGCTGATAGGCAAGTGAACATAAACCTCGTGAACTTCCTGCTTACAAACATCCCCTTTGTCTCGATCAATCGCATAACATACATATATTGTGTCGATCACATCGTCAAGAACATGTACAAAGAAAGCCAAGATCACTATCAGTAAAAGCCACGCGAGAATAGCCACCAAGTACGAATCTATTCCCAGGTTGCTCACTCCTCTTAGAACAGCCCATGTCTGATTATGCGCATCATCATACCCAAAATAGTTAGTAAATTAACACAATTATTATATGTTTCATTGGTTGGAAGCAGAATCTAATACTTACTGCGACTGCATATGCGGCTGAGAGTACAAAGACAATTCCAGTTAGGATTCTGGTGGAAACTGTTTCAACAAAAACAGCTGACAGTAGGTTGCGTCTTAAGAGCTCGTAAGTCATTTTCGCAGAGGTGCAATAGGCTTCGCCTGTTATTGCAGCAAAGTTTATGGTGAACTTGTTGAGATAGTCAAGTGCTCCGAGTAAGGCGTTTGCGCAGCAACGGAGAACCAAATTCACTATGCCTTGTGGGTTCTCTTCTCTTGCATTGTCAACAATTGCCCTGACCACACGAACAATGCAGATGAGAAGCCCTGATACACATATTGTACCAAAGGATTGACCAAATGCGTTCCTGAAAAGTTAGAATTATGAAAAAGAGAGTAGGAAATTAGAATCACAAATGTTTTAATAGAAACCACAACAGGTTTGGAGACTAGTGCATATTTGGATCCTTAAAACTATAATCTCCTTCAGAAACTATAATCTATGGAAACTTTCACATTTAAAGTAGCAAACAAGATAAGATAATGGATTTCAATACATGTATTGAATCCACTCCATAAAGCCTAGACTATGAATAATTGAAAACCATGACCTTGAATCACTAAATACTTTGGATATGAGGACTGAAACAAGAAGTATACTTTATGAGGAGACACAACAAAGAAACCTCAAAGCAGAGAACTCCCTCCCGAAGATAACACAAGCATGTATTCGAACTAAGAGTATTGATTGTAAGGGAAAATGCACAGCAAAATCACTGATAACAAGAATAAAAGAGACAAAGATGTGGAGGCGAATCACCTCAAAGAACTCCGGATGCACTTTTTAGGGGTTGAGTCTTCCTTGGAGAAATACCACTGAGCAATAGCTCCACTTATCACATACACTTGCATTTCCACCATTACAGCAAGGGACCAGAGCATCGTTAAAATGGCAAGCGCGTAATACGCAGGAACCCAAGAATCTTCCTTCCACTCACAAAAGTAATCATTATCCAACTCTCGTGGCACAAACTTGCCATTAAACCTTGCAAACACCAAGAACACCACAATGGGTGCATAGTACACGACTAACCCGAGAGTGAGCAATGGCAAGACAACAAAAAGCTTCAAATTTTTGGACAAGGCATCTGATGCAACACCGATGATTTGGATGGTGAGCTCAATTCTGTGCCAATTAGCTACTATGATCCAGACAATGATCCCGATGATCAAGAAAACGAAGACTAGGACAAGAATTCTGTAAGCTAGAGGGAGGGCGTGACTACAAGAAGAGCTAAGAGTACAAGCGACAAACCAATAGACGTTGAAAAAGATGGGAAATAGGACAAAGAGAGGCAAACAAGCATAAACAATCTGCTTAGTGTAGTGTTTGAGCAAAAGCAGGACGGTAAAACAAAAGGGCACGCTTAAAACGAACGTTACAACAAGGGTCCAGATCAAATTCTTCTCAAATACTGAATCAGACGAAGAAACCATACCGTACATGGCACTCGAAGAAGGCCAGTAGCCATGCGGAATTTTAGCAAAGGTGGAATTTTTGACGCAGGAGCTAGAGGTGAAATCGTAGGTGAAGGATGAGGCGCTTCCGTAATCGATATTTCTATGAAAAATGGAGAAGATTCCAAAACCAAAGGTGGAGAGGACGAGAAGATCGAAGAGAAGTAGGAAAGGGATGTCCTTGAAAGGTCTGGGGCCAAAATTGTATGAGATCTGAAGAAACTGAGTTGGGTCTGATTCGGGATCACTTCGACGAGGAGAACCGAGAGCGGACGTGGAGGGTTTGGAGAGAAGAGGGTGCGACGGAGAGGAAGAGTCGTAAATTGCAGCGAATTTGGAGGAGTCGCCGTCGTCCGCCGCCATGGTCGTCCAAAGAGAGAGAGAGGAGAAAAGCTCCGCCTCTGGAGTTAGATAGTGAAGAAGGAAGTAGAAGACGACGATACGCGATTTTGCATTTTTTTACTAATCACAGTAAATAGTGACGATGACGACGACCACCGCCCAAGCGGCGAAGCGAAGATGATTCATTCAAGATCTCGCCACCACAGATTTTCAATTTTAATTTCATTTAGTATAATACCGTCCAAATGTGATTTAATGAAATAGTTTACTGTTAATAATACTTTAGTGTAGATATTATTATCTTCATGCGCATCTAATTATATTAGTGTATAGTCTAACCAAAAAAAGAAAGTTTCTTTTTCTATCCCATCCCAAAAGCTGAATATGTAAGTTTCAGACTCGGAGAGATTGAAACGGGCTTTGTTGAAAGCCCAATAATAGACTTCTCTAAACCCAAAGAAGCGTAATAAAGTCCAAAGCTTCGCATGCATGGTGAAATGGTCCAAGGAGTGTGTGTGAGCGTGCTATTGCGTTTTGCAGGCGCAAAGTTTCAAGGATTGTGTAAGAAGTACAATAGTTTTTGGATATTGCTTTTTCATTTTTTTAGTTTTTATTCAAATGGTTTTCCTGTTTTGATTTTTCAAAAATCAATATGATACCCATTTAATATTTTAATAAAAATAGCAAACAAAACTTAAGAAATCTCAAGAGATTTGATCAATTCTCTTCACAAAATCCAAAAACCCCAAATTTATTCAAATATGATTTTGGATGAATTTTGATAAAGTTGTCCGGATTTGATGTAAACTCTTCAAAAGTAGAAAATAGAAAATAGAAACTAGAATCCACATAATTTGATAAAGTTGTCCGGATTTTGGATGATTTTTTAAAAAATTCATGAGAGAATAACACCTTACTAGAAACTAGAATCCACATAATTTGAGTTTTAAAGTAAAAAACCAAAATCTAAGGTGATCATTCAAGTTTCTTTCTAAGTTAAAATATATACAAAAACAAAAAAAAACCATAGAGCCATTCATAGCCTATAGGTGGTATGAATTGGGTAGAAAACTTGTAAAGAAAGCATCAACCCGTGGCACACTAGTAGCTCTATGTATATATAAAAGCACGACTTCACATGATACAAAACCCACTTCGCGTATAACAACACCATCACGTGAACTCACTCAATAGGTTCAGTGTTTCTGACATATTGTTCCCTCTCTGAATGAAACTCTCCCAAATAGAGAGAATGGCCTAATTAACAACCCATCCAACCCACATCGAGGGCGCACTTGGCTTCATCCCCACACCAATTTCTCTATCTCTAAGATTTTGTGTTCTTGTTTTGAATCATGCAACATTCTTCCATGTGTGCTTTGATATTCTGGGCCCTTTCTCTCCTCGCCGCCTCCACTCTTGCTTCTTCATCAAATGGTACTTACACATATTGCAAATACTATATATACATATACAAAATTTTAGTTTGGTAATTGTTTTGTATTTCTTCGTGTACAGATGGATCTTTCTACGACTCTACTGCCTATACAGAGGTTTAACACTCGTTGATGAACTACTATTTCAATTTCACCTTTATCAAAAAAAAAAAAAAACTATTTCAAATTCACAAGATATCTAATGAATATGAATTTCAATGGGTATGCGCAGTGTAAAGCAGAAGCAGAGAAGCCACTTTACAATGGAGGAATGCTGAAGGACAAAGAACCTTCCGTCTTAGGGAGAGACACTCTCACAGGCGTTGGTGCTCGTTACACACCAGCTTACATATTGCACAATCTCACGCAGAACACCATCTATTGCTTCTCCAGTTAAAAACATTTCATTCTTTCCTTGTAACAATGATACATATATATACGTTGACATGTGGGATGAATGTGACTGAATTGAGACTGATGAACAACAGTTTGGGTGAAGATAGAGTCTGGAGCTGCATCAGCTCGTGTAAGAGCAAGGCTGAGAGCAGACAACACCACTTTAAACTGCGTCGGTTCTGTATCTGCAAAACATGGTTGCTGGTCTTTCCTCAAAGGCGGCTTCCTTCTTAGTTCTCCTTCTAACCTATCCATCCTCATCTTTGAGGTAGATCTTTTCTATATAATATATGCTCAAAAGGACTGGATGATCCCAGTTATCAAGACTGTAAGTTGCTGATAATGAATGCAGGCATCAGAGGACGATGGCAAAATGCAATTACAAGTGGCGAGTGCCTCTCTTCAGCCCTTCACGCAAGAACAATGGAGGAACAGCCAAGATTACTTCATTAATACCGTAAATATTTCTAACGTGGAAAGTAGCAAACATTCTTTACGTGGTGCCCTGCCCTGAAATGTATCTATATTTTCAGGAGAGAAAACGAGCAGTGACGATTCACGTGTCCAGAGAAAACGGAGAGAGCGTCGAAGGAGCAGCGGTGACAGTAGAGCAGATCTCTAAAGACTTTCCCATTGGATCTGCCATCTCCAAAACTATCCTCGGAAACATTCCTTACCAAGTAAAGCCCTAAATAAGCCACTCCTTAAAACATATATATATATATATGTTCCTTACCAAGTAAGCCATATATATTGGTACTGTTTTTTGTATTGTAGGAATGGTTCGTCAAGAGATTTGACGCTACGGTGTTCGAGAACGAGCTGAAATGGTACGCGACGGAGCCTGATCAAGGCAAACTCAACTACACATACCCTGATCAGATGATGAGTTTCGTCAGAGCCAACAGAATCATCGCTCGCGGCCACAACATCTTCTGGGAAGATCCCAAATACACTCCCGATTGGGTTCGTAATCTAACCGGATCAGATCTCCGGTCGGCGGTTAACCAGCGTATCAGGAGTCTTATGACTCGGTACAGAGGAGAGTTCGTGCACTGGGACGTGAGCAACGAGATGCTTCACTTCGACTTCTACGAGACCCGCCTGGGGAAGAACGCGTCCTACGGCTTCTTCGCGGCGGCGCGTGAGATTGACTCGCTGGCGACTCTGTTCCTGAACGATTTCAACGTGGTGGAGACTTGCAGCGACGAGAGGTCGACGGTTGACGAATACATTGCGAAGGTGAGGGAGCTCCAACGGTACGATGGCGCGCAGATGGACGGGATCGGGCTCGAGGGTCACTTCACAACGCCGAACGTGGCGCTGATGAGAGCCATCCTCGATAAACTTGCGACGCTCCAGCTCCCGATCTGGCTCACCGAGATTGACATCAGCAGCAGCCTCGACCACCGCACTCAGGTAAAATACTTTGGTTTTTCCGGTTTAGTTAAGTTTGCTGTAACTGTCGCAATTTGTATCGATCGGTTTATGGTGACAACTTTATGCGGTTTACTACTAATTAAAGCTAGGATGATAAAATATGGAAAAATCCGGGGGTATGTTTACAGGGGAATTATTTGGAGCAAGTGTTACGTGAAGGGTTCTCACACCCGTCGGTGAATGGTATAATGCTATGGACCGCACTGCATCCATACGGATGTTACGAAATGTGCCTCACCGACGATAAATTCAGGAACCTTCCAGCCGGAGACGTGGTCGATCAGAAGCTTGTAGAATGGAAGACCGGTGGGGTTAAGGCGACAACAGACGACCATGGTTCCCTAACCTTCTACGGCTTTTTGGGAGAGTATAGCGTCGGCATCGTATACCAAGGTAAATCGGTTAGTACGACTTTCTCGCTATCTCGAAGCCCTGAGACCAAACATGTTAGACTCCAAATCTAACCTCTATGCTTTTAAATTATCGCCTCGCTCGCTCCTCTTAAGAAGATACGGTGTTATTCTTATTTGAAAAAGAGATACGTACTCATGATACATACGTTAAATTGATATTTTGATTATACATATATATACAGTAAAGCTTACAAATTTTCAAATTGAATGTCTGGGTGGGGACAAAAGTAAGTAAAAAAGAAAAAAAAGACGAGAGATTTTGTGGCGTGGGAGAACTATTTTTTTTATATATAAAAACTAAAATTTATGACATACTGTATAATATAGAGACATCAAATCAGACATAAATCCCTGCAAAGTAACTTGAAAAAAGCTAAAGTGGAATCATTCATATCACACACAGCGCTCCATCCATTATCAGTGACAGTGAGCCCCAGTTTGGCTCTGGCGACACCATTATCCTGAAATTAACTTGTTGGAAAACAAATGCTCACTTTAGATCTACTAAACCCTAAAAAAAAATCCATTGATTCACAAAACATATTTCACAATTTCGAACATGAACCATCTTTCAAAAGACAGATGAAACAAGGACACGCACACACGACATATTAAGCTACGATGCAAAAACCCAAACTGTTGCAGTCTTAATAAGGGAAAAAAAAAAAAGGAAAACATTGAGGATCAACAAAACTAAACAAGGCAAATGCTAACACAAGGCAACTACCGAAACCTACGAAGATGATGAAATGATGCTACGAGAAAATAAACGGGAAAGTAAACGCGGCAAGAAGCAATGCCAATGACAGTGAAGCGCAGGCTGATCTGCTTGAGTCTCCCATAGCCAAACCAGCCATCCATGATCCGTCCTGTAACATAGTCTCTCCCGTACCCATCTCCGAACCAGTACCCTGAGACCCAAGCACATACCCCTCACCCTGCCCTTGAGTCTGTTGACCCTGACCCGCATTACCCGTTTCCGAACCGGGCACAGGATCCGAACCTTGTGAGGTTGACGACACCGGAGGGGGGTAGCTAGTCGACTTCTGACTGTTTTGCAAAAACAGAAGCAAACTGTCAGATCTTTCTACTTGCGATTTCAAACTAGTTTGGCATTGCTTTGCAACTTTTGTGTAGAAACAAAAAAAAAAAAAAACAATTTTCTGGATTAACCTAATTGTTCTTGTCTTCTTGACAAACAATTTTAAAAAGAGAATCTTTTCGCCTTTAAACATGTTGGTTTATGAAAAGAAGAGAAGAAACAAACATCGGCTTTCCAACAATCTTTTGATTATAGTAGTATAAAAAAGATCCTAATAAGATTAATTATTACGAAACCCATTAACACATAAAGTTTCAATTTTTAATCAAAAGCAACCCAGAAATTGTGGGAAATAAAAAAAGAATACTAATAAACTAGAGTAGTAGTAGTAGTAAGAGAGGAAAATGAAAAAAGTACCTAGGGGAAGAAGGGCAAAAGGTGAGGGTATAATCACCACCGGCGCAAGTGAAAGTGCTGGTAGCGTCGTCGTATGCGTAGCTGTAGGAGCGAGGACATGCGGCTTTGAACATCTCCGAGTAAACGGAAGGCCTACAAGTGGAGGGTGTAGCATACGCGCCGCTGCAACAATACTCAGGACTCCGGAACGCTTCACACGCGCTCTTACAAGCGTCTCCTTCGCCGAAACGCAGCTCAGCAGGGCACTGAGTGTTAATATCCGATGTGCAACCGGTAGACGCGCACTGCCCAGATCCACCGGCTACTTCCACGATCATCGGGATGTTGTATCCGTCGACCAGGCTCACGTCGTAGAAATCATCTCCGCCAGTGCCCAGGGTGAACTCGGCGAGGGTTACAGGCGGGGCGGCGCCGAGTCCGACGCACTCGACTTGGTTAGAGCCGCAGTCTCCGGTAGTGCAAGTACCGGAGCCGGAAACGTCGAACTTGCAACCGGTTCGAGCCCAGAAGCGACCGGACCAGCCGGTGGGGGCTTGGAGAGAGCGGGAGGTGCCTTTAGGGAGCTCGAAGCCGGTGGTGGAGAGAGTAGGAGAGCCAGCATTGGCCAGGATTCCAGGCCAAACGGTGTAGCCGCACCGATTAGCGAAAGTGAATGTTGAGCCATCACAACCTTATAATCAAACGAAATCAAATCAGTTAATAAAGAAAAAAAAGGAGAAAAAAGAAGTGAAAGGTATAGAGAAGTTGTTAATATACCAGTGGAAGCTAAGAGCAGAAGAAGGAAGCTCAATGTGAGAGTGGAAGAAAGATCCATCAAGGTTCTTCTTCTTAGTTCTTTCTTACTCAGTTGTTCTTCTTGATCTGTGTCTAAAATGAGAAAGAAGAAGTAGAAGAAGAGAGAGAGATAGGGAGAAAGAACGATGATGAAGCTATTTGGTCGAAAAAGGGGTTTTCTTCTTCTTTTTATTTATTTACTAGTACTGGGTACTGGGGTAGGGCTCTCTATGCCTGACAAATATTTTTATTACTAAGAATTCAGAAAACAAAAGAAAATTTATACTTATTATTGGATAGGACCAAATGGATGATATTGTTCTAGTTCCCTCTGTCCATTAACCTGTAAAAAAAAAGTCACTAGTAATTCATTTAAACTTTGAAATCATTTGATGAGCAAATGCAGTTTTTGTATTCGCAATCTCTTCTTGATTTTTGAATAAGCCATGAGGCTCTCTTGTCTTGTGTGTAACAAGCTATGTTACTAGTACAGTAAGTAGTAACCCACACGAACGTGTCCAATTGGGCTTACTCGGCCCAAAGACCTTTGTTGATATTTCATGTATGAAGGCGGTAGAGAGTGGACACATGGACAGCCGGAAGATGTAGGGGAGAACTGCAGACACAGAAGATAAATAGTAACTCTCTTCTGCCTTTCGTCTTTTGAGGAACAAGAAAGAGAGAGAGAGAGAGTATTACGACCCATGCCATTACCATCGATAGCTGAGCCCCTTTGACTCCTAAATCTTGTCAATATTTTTAACTTCTCCCAGCTGTATGACAAACTAAACATTAGTACTATTTTATATTATAAGGGCATGTTGTTTCCATAAACTTTCAAATAACAATTAATAACACCTTACGATGCACCCAGACAAGCAAATTAACAGGTTTGTGTAGCCGATGTTTGTTTAACAATGCTCAGTCATCTACTTGGGAGAGAAGAGAACGCCCATCCTGTTTTTGATGACCCAAACCAAAAAAAAAACTGAACAATATAAGCGGGTTTAGATAGTTACCGTTATTGGGATGTTAAACTCCGGGGTACAACTTAATTTTTGGTACTGAGCTATGGCCTAGGTTTTGCTTGCAAATGGGCTTATTCGGATCGACCCCCTTGTCGGCATTAACTTTAAACATTCGTTACTCGCATTATTAACTTTTATATTCATTTTCTTAAAAATCATCCGTTACATAAGAGGGACTTCTTCTATCTTATGATTCAAGAAAAAAGCAGAGGACAGAAACAACAACTCTTGGGAAAATTTCGAATGACAGAACAGAACAGAACAGAGAGATTTACAATTTGCTTCGTATCACCGTAATGACATTTTTCTACACATGAATTTTGCTATCTGCCTACAACAAGGAAGAGGGAAATGATAACAATTAGTAAGTAACCTCACCAGACAATGTAAAAAGGACCTTATGCAAATCAATAGGGACTTTATTTATTTATACATATAAAAGAGGCGGCTCTCAGCTGCTGTGCGGATGCGGCAAATGTATCATGCTCTTGTTTACTAGCGGCAGAGTTGCCCCATCTTTCCTCGATCCTAACAGCTTCTCGCTGCAAACAAAACCCGTATCAACCAACTCTTGCTAACCTCATCACACCCAAGTACAGTTTCAACAATGGAGCTCCTCACTCCCATCTTTGTCGAACTCAACAATCCAACCAATCATTTTGACACGGTGCAAACTAAACCATTCCAATCAACACTTGCTCACGCCAAATGCTTACCCGTAATGGTGTACACTTACTCTCATTCCAATCCAACTTAACCAAATTAATTTGATAGAACAACACTAATGTCAAAACACTTAAAAAAGTCTCAACGCGTTGTAAATGAGCTAAAAGACTAACAAGCTAAAGTCCATAATAATCAACAGTGGCTAAGAACAGATTCCTACTCAATACTCACATAATGACAAGAAACATGTATCTCTCGGAGTCTTCCAAGATAACTGATTCAAACAGAGGGACAAAAGGGTCAATAACTAACCTTGTATACGGCGGCGGACAGAAGATGATGAAGTAATCGGCTCCGGTGGCGCAAGTGTAAGTGCTGGTCTTATCGTCATAGGCGTAGCTGTAGGCTCGTGGGCACGCATGCTTAAAGAAGAGCGAGTAGACCGAAGGCTGACACGTGTCCGGCGTAGCGTAGGCATCGCTGCAGCAATACCTTGGATCGCCGAATGCCTCGCACGCGCTACGGCAAGCCACACCGTTTCCTTTCCCACGCGCCACCAGCTTCAGGTCTCTGGGGCACGCGCCGTTCAAGTCCACGAGACAACCGGTGGCTCCGCATCCTCCAAGGACGATTTTCTTGGGCAAGATAAGCATGGGGAGGTTGTAACCGTCGACGAGGCTGACGTCGTAGAAGTCTAGCGCTCCGGTGCCGTTGAGAGTAAACTCGGCGAGCGTTGCTGGAGGCTTAGCTCCGGAGCCAGAACATTCAACCTTTCCTGAGCCGCAGTCTCCGGTTAAGCAGAGGAAAGAACCGGAACTAGGATCTTGTGAACACAAGGTTCGTGCCCAGAGACGACCAGACCAGGACGGTGGTATTGCGACGGTCTTGGATTTCCCTCTAGAGAGACGAAAGCCAGTAGTGGGGAGCGGCGCAGAGTTAGCGCCGGAGAGCAAACCGGGCCAAATCGTGTTCCGGCAACGATTCGTGATCTTGAACGAAATCGGTTCAACACCTGACAATCCAATCAGAAAGTATAAAAAGGTTTGTGCAACTCGATTGTTTGAAGAACCAAAGAAAGAAACATAAACACAACTAAGTTTGGATCTACTCATTAACAAAGTTACCTGAAAGAGATAGGAGAAAACCCAAAATCACAAACAGGAGAATTCGATGCATCATCGCTGTTTGAGATTAAAATGTGTACTGTAAATGCTTCAATGAGTAAAGCGACCAACTTTTTTTACTTTCAAAGAGCGGAGAGAGAGAGAGAGGAGAGACGACGAGAAAGTGAGAAACAAAAGGCAAAGGCCTCTCTCTCTCTCTCTCTCTCTCTCTTTCTATTTCTTTCAAATCGAACCGAACCGATGATTGTAATCTCTAACTTTACTGGGATCCCAAATTAAACCGGTTCTCTGGGGGGTACTTCCATTCAGCGGTGCGCACGTGGGATTTTGTGTGTGGACCTTTTAACATGCTCATTTGTTTCAACCTTTTTTTTTCTTTTTTTTTTATATAGCGCTCCGATTTCCAAGGTAACAACAACAACAACAACAGATCTAAAAATCTTGCCATATCTGCTTTCTTTCGCTACTTATCCAATCCTAATCGTTTAGCCACAGTGAGTGTGGTTGTAAAAACGGTGCCGTTTAATTAATAAATCAGAATGATGGAGACTGCAACGGGTATTCAATTCCATGGAACTAAATGCCAATAAATGCATCTACGAGCAAATAGATTTTGTATCAATGAGCGAGAGATCTTATCCATAACATCAGATTCAACCTTAAAAAATAAAAAAGAAATATCAAAGATCTCACGAGATTCGTTCAGATGATTTTAAACCCAGAATAACGTTTAGCGTATGAACACTTGAAACAGAGCAGAAGAAGCGAAGCGTTTTTCACCCATCACAAGTAGCATTACCAATAAACCATAAAGGCAATAAACCATAAGTAGCAAAATAACAAGGAAAAAAAAAAGAGGTCCTAATCCGAAACCATCAACAGATTCCGAAACGAACGAACTAACAAAGACAGATCATCATAAGAAACAAAGAGCGGATAATAGAGAGATAGAACACGGCGAGACTGAGATCCTACGATCATGTGTGAGATGACCGATTCACCCTTCTCAACCGCCTGGCCTGCGATCCTTTCAACGTCCACCGCTGGTGCAATCCCTTGCGAAATGACCCGACTCCCCACAGCTGTAGCAGCTTCCACCGCCGCCTCCTCCTCGGCCACCTCCTCCGTAGCCACCACCTCCCCCACCGTAGCCTCCGCCGCCACCTCCGTAGCCACCACCTCCCCCCCCGTAGCCTCCACCGCCTTCTGAACAGTCTCTCGCCATGTGACCTGGCTCACCACACTTGTAGCAGTCGCTGCCTCCACGACCACCACCGCCGCGTCCACCTCCGTAACCGCCACCACCGCCGTATCCGCCGCCAGATCCACGGCCTCCGCCTCTTCCGCCACCACCGAAACCGCCGCGTCCGCCAGATGAGCCACCACCGCTGTTGCCTTGGACGGGAGCGCCGTCGGGACCAGAGACATCGATGGCCTTGGGACGGCCATTGTTGTCGTTCTCGACGTCGAACTCGACAGACTCCTCAGCAGCGAGGCTACGGAAACCCTCAGATCTGATGGAGGACTGGTGAACGAAGAGATCGTCGCCGCCATCGTCAGGAGTGATGAAACCGAAGCCCTTCTGGGTGTCGAACCACTTGACGGAGCCTTTGCGCCTCTCACCACCGCCGTTGTCTCCGCTCATTCTGATCGAAATCTCTTTTTTGATTTAAAAAAAAAAAAAAAACTTTTTGAACTCTCAAAATCTCAAAAAGAAACCCTAGAAAATTCACAGAATCTCTCTCTCCACGCAGCAGCTGTTTATATATTTGCAGGAGAGCTGTGGCAAGGGTATGACTGCCACGTCACCACACATTCATTTTTTCCGCTGTTTCCAAAGATTAAAAAAGAATAGTAAAAAAATAATTAAAACAAAGGAAGTATCTTTTATAAGGTTCATCATGACTTTAAAAATTTAATTTACATACAGGAATTTTAAAATTTCTTTCTTCTTTGTATATATATAATATATATTATCTAGTATAACTTGTTTCAAAAATATCGAGCTACTAAAAAATGATGTTTTTTTTTCAGTTTATACGGTTTGTGTTTAAAATGATTCTAGAATTTGCAAAGACACAGTTAAATGGAAACATTAGGAAAAAAGAAAAGAAAAGAGCTTGTTGTTGTTGATTTGGACGAAAATGAATTCTGGGAAGTAAAAAAAAAAAAAAAAAAAAAAGAGAGAAAATGGGCCAGAGCAGGTGAAAAGGGCTGAAAAGAAAATGAAACCATTTCGGGAAAGAATGGACCTCGTTGTTGGCCCAGCAGCAGCAGCTAAGTTAGCCGTAGTTAATCTGGACGGTTAGGGTGTTTTCAAGGAGACGGATATCAGCCGTTAGATCTTCAAATTAGAGAGAGTCAAAAGAGTAAATGTTAAATTTATTTGGGAGAGAGAGAGAAGATAAGAGATGGTTTTAATTTTTTACTGGGTTGTGTGGTGCAGTCAAAGTCAGAGTCAAAGAGTCAAACATTAATAATAAATAAAAAGCTGGGGATGACCTACACAGCAACGTCAGCTTATATATATTTCAACTGGTCGATATAAGAGAGTTAAAAATAATATAATTTGAATGAAAGCATTTCTTACTTTCCAGTGTCCTTGCAGTGTGTACATTGATGATGTCATCCAAACTTAATTGCTGGGGGGAAGTGGAAGAGACTCAAAAACACAGTCGTTTGGTTAGTAAAATACTAACAAATAAAAGAGTTTAGTCGTATGGTATGTGTGTTTCAAAAGTCGTATGGTATGTAATGCGATCAATCAAAAGTTTCATTCTTTTTTTCTTTTGGCTTTCGTCAATTCCGCTAAGGGGATCGGATCAATCAGATAAGTGTAAAGGTGATCTTAAACTTTTGATCACATATTAAGTATATATATATATATCATCACTCCACCAGGATTAGATTAGTAGTGATCTTTCTCCCCAAATGCAGTTCTTAGAGGTAAGGGATCATCCATCATTCTTTTTTTTGTCTTTCCCCCTCTCTTTTTTTTTTACTCTGTTACTCTTTTCCTTTAATCGCTTTATATGTACATTGATCAAATTAATGGAATAATGCATTTCTGTCATCATAGCAATTTATTGGATTCATGTGTTTCTATACTTCCTACTCTCAACCTGTTCTGTTTGATATCGCATCACACTGGTGTTGAGTCGTGAATGGTGACTGCAGGCGTGTGTATAATATAATTTGGCATTGCTGCACATGTAAATAGTTGTATCTCTGATTAGCTCTCTTTCACTTGTTAAGTTAATTACCATCATGTTTTAAAATAATACAGACTTATTAGTTACTACTAGTGTATTATCACCAATGTGCATGCGTCTTCTTACTTGTATATTATCTACCATCTGCCAAAAGTATTTTGGGTTCCATTTTTGTATGAATTAACCAACAACGCACTCTCTGCATTTGTTTTGGCGGTTTTTTTTACACTTGAATCTGCTGCACTGCATCTTTCCCATTATGATGAATCTCAAAACTTTTTACTTAACCTAAATAAAGACAATGGGACTAAATCTCTGGGCAGTTCCAGTATCATGTTCCAAAAATATTTTTGTAACGAATATGAATGTACACGCTTTAGCTCTTAAATCACACACAAACACACTCACTAACATGTTTTCATACACTATATAAGTACACAGCCATGATTCTCTCTCTGTAGTTTCCTCAGGCTCAGGCCTTACCCTCAGCTCTTGCAAAGGTGAGCCCAACGCAAGCATCTACGAACTCTTTATCTATGAAGTCCGTGGAGAATATCTGCAGTTTGTCAGCACATCCCCTCTTGACACACTCGATGATGAATACCTTTGCGTAGCAATGTATACGCTTTGTCACAGGCTTCACACACATGATCGGGTTATCAGGCTGCGGCGTCACAGTGTTCTCCACCCGGTAGAAGAACTTCCTGGAAGCAGCCGGTTGCTGCTGGCTGAGATGCTTTACGTTGCTCTCGAATTTGGTGGAAGGGAGGTCCGTGTCGATCCAGTTGTCTTTCAGGTAGCCGGCGCTCCAAAGGGGATCGCCGTGCTTAGGCTGAGGCGATTTCCTCGGTTTCCAAACGCAGATCACTCTCTTAGGGAGCAACTCAGCGACTGTCTTGTCGAAGACGTGATCGTCCTGGTGAATGAGGTGCTCTCCCAGCTGTTCAACGAGATACTTATCGAACTCGGGAGGGTCTTCGTGTCCAAACTCTGTTCTGATCTCAAGGATCACAATCTCGTACTCAGTCTCAGAAAGGAAGCGTTTGAGATCGGCTAAGACAAGGTCGACGCTGTAGGTCTTGAGGATGCCGTGGCAGACACGGCGGTCTTCTTGGACACGAATGTCGAGGACTCGAGTACCCGCCACGAGCTGGTTGTAGATGGAGAGGGACTGGCACTGCGCGAAGGGGCGAGACACGAACCGGATCCCGATTTTGTTGGTGGCGGAGTCGTGCGTGCCTGGCCAGACGATCTTGTTGATGTGAAGCTTCTCAGGGCCAACGCCGGCCATCCAGTTTTTACGATCGGAGGGCATGTAATCACACCCAGGGAACTCGCACCCGCACGAATTCTCGAGATCTGTGAGGGCTTTCTTCTCCGTGGAGATGGCTTTTCGCCGCTCCAGCTGTTTCGAAAGATGAGACCCCATTGGTGAGAGGATGGAACAAACCCTTTCCTCCTTGCTCTCTCTGTTTCTGATCAATAATTCTACTGTTTCTTTCTTTTTCTTTGTTTTTGTTAAAACGAACGTACGAATACGATGCCTTCTTTATAGATCAAAAAAAAAACATCATTAAACGTATGTTATTATTATTGGTACTACAAAGTTGCGAAATATACTGTTAAAAATTTTCAATAAACTTTATTATCGGGAAAGCACCTTTTAGATGGATAGACCTTAGAATTAGCCGTTTTTAATCACTATCATTAATAAACCGATTTATTAGTTTTATTGTAGTATATGCTACAATTTTAATCTAATTTAATTTAATTTGTTAGAAAATCATCTACAAATAGGATAATTGTCACGTCTACTGATTGAATTTGAAGAATTGAGGTAATTGTTGATTCAAGGAGTGGTTGGGTTGTAAATTGATGGAGGGAACAAGTATTTGGTTATGGTAGGTCCAAATATTTCATCTTTGTATATAATTTTGTCACTTTCGATGAGCTGGCTCTCTCAGACGTGGTATCAATTACAACGTGACTCTTTATGCCTTTGTGCAATCAATATATATGACGACAGGACACATGTTCAGTTTCTATTGAAATAAATAATCCGTTCCACAGTTTTTCAATAGAGGCTCTTAAATTTCCTTTTTTTCATACTTTAAATGTGTAATAAATAATTTTAGATAGATAGGATCCGAAGGGAAAACAATCACACACATATGGCCCTACCATGTGTTTTTGTAACTTTTTGTGAAGTTATTATTATTTCAAAACTTTACGATTCATGGAAATATATGTTATAAGAGAAATTTCTCTAATGTGTGATTGTTTTTTAAAAACAAACAAACAACATATGAAATAGCTTTTGCTTTTAGGAGTTGGAAGGAAGGATTGCAACATATTTATTCAATTATTGATTCCTCTCAAACTCAAAATCTGAATTCCAAATTTGTTTAAAAATATATATATAGAGAGAGAGAGAGATTAATAATGGTAAACGGTAGCATCATATCGGAGAACAGCATCACCGGTCTTCATATCAATTTGATGCGTTTTTATTTTGACAAAACCTTTAGCCATTCTGAACTTTCCACGGCCACCAACAATCGCGACTTCTCTCTCCCCGGCTTCTTCTGCTACCGGATTCCTCGAAAAGACGCTGATCGAACTCCCCTTGTATTTCCCCTTCGTAAACGCCAAATCTGCATACATCACGATCGTGAATTTGCTCATATCTTTGCTCCCGGACACGTACATCCCACGACCGTTCCCTATCTCTTTTGAATCTTTCTCCGGCCCGATGGTGAGTGGATCGTCCATCACGAAGAGGCTTCCGAAGCCCACCGGCGAGTTTGTGAGATTGGCATGTGCGATTCTTACGGCGCTAGGATCTTGTCCACTAAGAATATCATGGAGATAAAACTGGAGGCGGGTTACTTTCTCCTCTTTTAGGTTAGCTTGCTTTGTCTTGCTGTAATATGATGTTTCTCTACGTGCCATAACGGCCACGCTCATACAAACACAAACAATTGTTATTATTATTCTCATGTTCATTGTTTTAATTTTTTTTTTTTTTTAAAGAAAATTGATATGAAGGATTGGTATATAAATCACAAACACAACAACATATATAGTTTCATCAACACTAGTCCTTTTAAGGGAAGTTTATAGGTAAGATATTCTTCTATAAAATGATACTACACAATAAGAAAGAACAAAAAAAGAAGATTAGTATTTTCTCATTATTCAACCTAATGATATTTTTCTAATATAAGAAAAGGAAATAGTAAATGCTATGCATACTACAAATTTAATTTATTTTTTAGATTGTGTTTTTGATTTGGATTAGAATATATCATTTTGTAAAGGAAAAAAAACCATAATCAAAGGTGAAAAAAATTCAAATCAAGTAAGTAGAAATTCAATCTTCTTATTTTTTGTAAGGGAGGTTATTTGATTTGTTGATTTCAATTTGCTTCATAGTGTGGTATGTTAACATTTCTAGTGGTGAATTAAACAAATTTTGAAGGATTAGGAAGAGATTTACTAACTTTTTTAAAAAATTATCATTCCCAAAATCTTTGGGATTTTTCTGCTAGAATATATATGAAAATAACCACGCGCACCAAACGCGCGTTGACGATCGAGGAGCCAAAATGGCTAATCTGTTTAATAGTGCGTCGGCCCAACTGGCAGAATTTTACATATCAGGCCTTTTTATGATCCAAAACTCTTACTTTTTTGGGTGCATCAACAACGTTCAATCACAAAGGAAATACACACACGCACGAGTGATGATGAAGACTGCCTAAACTCGGAAGAAAAATATTAAACGATAAAACGAATATGATGAAATTGTACAGCTCGTAAAAATAAACGACACCCAAAACCCTAAAAAATTCAACAAGAGTATGCTGCAAAGAGCAAAGAAGACCCTACCAAAATTTTCTATTGAGTTCCCCAATCCCCACACAAACTTAACTTATCCATATTAAACAACACAATTTCTCATAAGCTAAGTGCTATTGCCTTCAGTTTTTGTCCTCCGTCTCTTCCTTCTTATCCTCTTCTTCTACAGCTGGTTCCTCCTCAGTCTCTTCCTTCTTAGCCTCTTCTACAGAGGCTTCATCCTCTTCAGCTCCCTCCTCAGATTGCTCCGTGCTTCAATGTCAAAGACAATATAATCCACGAGTCAGATACATGCTTACTAGCGTAGAATTTACACAGTACCCAACCACACTAATTTAAAACAGAGCTCTCAGAGAAACATGGGATGCCATATCAAAAGAGACAGCAAGTGGATTTCAATCTTTCAGCCTAGCAAGAGGGTTTACTTCAAGACATCAACTTCAAGTTCAATGTGTGCTTTCTACTATCAGTTCCTAATTGAAAACTAACAGAGAAAAGCTTATGAACACAAAACAACTCTCTCCTTGAAACTAGTAGAATAATCTAATAATCCATTTATCTATAACACATGCCAATCAAGAGCCACTGTCAATCTTAGCATATATGAATCCCTATATCTCTAACAGAGTTCACAGTTTCTTAGAAACATATCAACATTATGCTCAATCAAGCTTTGAACATACCTTTTCCTCCAACTTTTTCCAGTACGATCGTCGTCCTTACGGCCATTGCCAAGACCAAAGCCCAACTTCCCAGGAGATTTCTCATCAGGCTTCTCAAAGGCTGCAGCAACGTCCTTTAGTTTGTCAGCCTCGAGCTTCTCGTCAATCTCTTTCCAATCCTGGCCTTTCTCAGCCAGGACTTCCTCCCTAGGTCTGGCATTCCCAAAAGGATTAGCACCTTTAGGTTTATCTACAGCGACCATGACCGGACTCTCCGGCTTTACAACCTCCACAACGGCCACGGGAACGGCAACGGGAAGTGTGCGGGGCTGTAACACCAATCTCGGCCGTGAGCCACCGCTGCTCGGTGGTGGTGCGCCATCAGCTCCAGCGCTCTCTTCTCTTCTCCTCCCCCAGGTATCCGATTCCGAACCACCACCGCCGTATTGAGAATCCCGGGTTCTAGACAAGGATTCAAAACTTCCCCTTTTCTCGAATCTGTCACCACCGCCGTTGCTAGAAACGTATCTACGGGGCTCCGAAGGCTTAGTGGAGACCCAACTATCGACTTCATCAGCCTTGGACTGAGAATCGAAGAATCCTCCGCCGCCGCCTCCTCTCTCTCTCCTCTCGAATCCGCTACCTCCAATTGGTTTCTTGGTGGCACCCCAGTTATCATCCTCATCCGCACGCGACGGACCCGAATCCCTGCTAGATTCCCTGTCCCTGTTGAATCCACCGCCTCTCCTTTCCCCATCCTCCGAAACCCTAGACGAACCCCACCTCGAATTGGAGGAGTCATCTCCGTAACGACCCCCGCCATAGCTCCGGAAACCGCCCCCAAGCTTAGATCTATCAAGCTCCTCAGCGGAACGCTCGCGTGGACCAGTCGGAAGAGCGACAAGCTCAGCCTGAGTGAGGCGCTCCGTCTGTGGAGCCGGCGCCGCCTTAGCAGAGCCGTATGAGGCGAATTCAGCGAGAGATATGGTTTGGCCCTTCTTCTTCTTCGTTTTGGTGGTCGCCGCAGCGGCCAAGGAAGGGAAATCGGAGGAATCTCCGGCAGAAGATTTCTGGTTGGAGGGAGGGGCTTGTTGCTTGAGCTCATCTTCGTGTTCCTCGGCTTCAAGAGCCCAAGCACCAGGCTTTGCCCAAACAGATGATACAGCAGCCGCCATGGTTTGATTCTTCTTCTTCTCTCTTTTGCTCTCTCTCTCTTCGCGTGTGAATCAAAAATAATAATGAATGGCTCTGCTTCGTTAGACCGCACCGAATCGTTATTTCCTTTTTATACTTCGATCTTTTTGGGTTTTGATCGGACGGTTACTATTAATTCATCAATAGGGTTTTATATTACTATTTAGGTCCGGAGTTTTATTATTTCCCATTCCTTCACCTACAAGGACAAAGAAACAATTTTCTTGAATCAAAGATAAATAAAATTCAACGACAGTTCTCAATAATCATTTTGTTTTAAAAAGATAATTGTACTAAGAACTAAAAAGAATTTATAATAAATGGACAAATTTAGATAGAGAAACCACAAAAGACTATTACAACAAAACTATCAAGTATACACAACAAGCCTACATTGTTTCCCCTCTAAGAGAGTTAGAGAACCAACCTCCCTCAGTTTGCAGCACAAAGAGGGTTTACTTTGAGGGACAAGATTTTATATATTTTTACCTAGTGTTGCTAATATTCAGGACTGTACAAACTTGTCAGATGTTCTTCATCAAAGCTCTTCCCTGAATCCTGCCATCTCCTTCTTCCTGAAGAAGCTTGTTCCTCTTCTCTCGTTGCATGCAGTATAACTGTTCCTGTAAGCACTGTGATGAACCCACAAATCTCAGAGGCTATGCTTTCTGTGTTTTGCCCATTCCAGTCCTGTACACAAAGTGATTCATCAACCTATGACCATTTTTCAAACAGGATCATTGCTCTTAATCATCAATTAATGTTGTTTTACCTTGAACATGATCGCACTCGCAACAATTGTGAGGGTTGTAAACATCACGTAGTAGATAGGAGAAACAATTGCTGCGTTGAATGTGTCTAGCGCCTGGCAAAACAAAACATGTCAGTATTAAGTAAGTGAGCCAACACGAAATCACACAGATACAAGTACAATTTTCTTCTTACCTTGTTAAGGTAAATCATTTGCATTACCACACAGATTGCTGCAACCATGACAAAAAACCATGTCTCTGGATACCAAATCTGGTTTATCCCCTCCAATGTTAGCTTTATCGCAATCCCCACAGCCTTTATGCTCATAACCTATTGTAAAATAACAACCTTAATAGAGCAAAAAATAATTGGGGAAATGAAATAGAGCTCAAAACTAATTCTAAGATGCTTACAGTGAGAGAACCCATCAATGAACAAATTCCGATATAAACAAGAACGTTGGTTTGGCCGCAGAGAGGTTCACAATACAGAATCAAAGCCAGGACAATCGACATTGATATAGCTACGTAAACTAGAAATGCTGTCTCATATAAAAAGGAGGGCAAGGAAATAAGTTATTCTCTAGATAAGTAACATAAACACACAATGTGTGTAAGAGAGAGAGAGAGAGAGAGAGTTAAAAAGAGCGCAACCTGGCTGCATTGATAGTGTCCAGATTTCTTCAACAGAATTGGGAGTCTGCTCCTGAGGTGCGTGTATGACAATCATAACAGAGCCCACGATGCAACAAACACATCCCCAAACTCCCATTTTCCTAAGTTTCTCGTTTAACAGGAAATGTGCCAAAACAGCACTTGAAATAAGGGAAAAGGAATGAAAGGGTTAGTCAGCGAAGAGGTGAAATAACCTCTCGGAAAAATGTTCAAAAGAAATGAGATGTCATGAGTTACCTGATGATTATACTCAATGCACCAAGAGGAGTGACAAGTACAGCCGGTGCATAGACGTAAGCAACAAAGTTTGCAATTTCTCCAAAAGTCACTGAGTTACCAAAAAAAAATCACATAGAGAATGTAAGCAATGTAGTTATTGAAAAGGGAATAAGGAAGTAAATAACCTACTTGTGACCAGGCCTACCCACCAAAGGGGCTCTAACAAATATGTATAACCACCAAACCCTGCATCATCATTAAGCAAGTCACTATAATTAGGAACATAAGAAGCATTTTGTTTCCTCTAATCTATCTTTTTTTGACGCTGCAGTTATATATGCTAGAAAACAAAACACATAACATATCTGCAATAAAGATGACATGTAGATTAGAGGACACAAATGATTCAGACGCCTAGAACCTAACTTGAGGAATTGGTTTCAAAATGAATTCATCCAATATACAATATGTATCCTCCTCAATCGCAGACAGCAAAAACCCTAATCGTTCTGAAATAAGGCTTGACCGGAGCAATCCTCCAAAGTAAAATGAATAGAGCATAGAATTTGTAGGGAAAAAAAAGAAATACCAGCTCGGGTGCCGTTAGCAGCAGCACGCTTGAGACCTTTCTTCTTCAAAATGAAGCTGGAACCTATGAATACACTAGAAGACACAGCTAATACCAAACCCATCTCATTGTCCGACAACATCTTTTAGTTTCTCTCAGCCTAAAGGAAGACGACCCCTAAATCGTATGGGAAAAGATACAAACGAATGGCAAGAATCCGGATGAACTGGTTCTGATAGTTTTTGATCATACACGAATGGCCGCCACAGAAGAAGAAGGAAACCTCCTCCTGTAAATTAATTAATCTGCTTGTAATCAGGGAGAGAGAGAGAAGAGGAAGAAGAAGGAGAATCGCAGGTATGCTTTTTTTTTTTTTGAGGAAACGAAAAATTGAAAATTTCAAATAGATTGGGAGAGAGAGAAACTTGTGTTGTGCCCCCTCTCCATTGACGACAACTCATAGATGAGATTTCGTCTTGTCTTGTCTTTGGATATATATTTGAAATTAACTGGGACTTTAGCCAAATTATACAAGAGGGCCAGGCTCTTCAGATTATAAGTATTTAAATTTTCAAATTATCTGCTGCTTCGCGGACCACCTTATACTTTTTCAAGTTAGTAGCGATCCCATCCCGTATCTTTCTCTTTATTGATCAATGACACCCTTTTTTTTTCAGTTTACTTCTTTAATCCTTCTAGTCTATATAAATTTAGTTGATGAGTTGTTTCTGTTTTAGGAGAAGAGCTCACCACAAGAAAGAAGAAAATTTGGATTTATATATTTTTTTTCTTTTGAAGAAAAAAAAAAGGTGCAATTATGAAGATCTTAACTGAAGCATATGCTGCCAGCATGGCTTCAAAGATGGATAACTCTTAATTTCAAATTTTATATAAACCATTAAGGGCTTCGTCAAATAATTTTGATTTGTTTAGTTATATACAAAGTTTTTAAAGAAAACTCAGATTTGGGCCTCATTTTTATGAGCCGGATTTTACGTGGAAAAGCCCACTAAAGTTTTATCGTAAGTGATGATGGTGAAACACTGACAACAGAAAAAAAGAAGAAAAAAAGCCAACTGGTAGGTAAATATAATATTTTAGGTTTTGTAATTGATTGGTTTAAGTCAATGGAGAAGCACGTGCGTTGTTAGTTTGGACCAAGACGTGGTGGTGTAAGTCTGTAGAGTAGAGTGTGATGAGAATGACGAGCCAGCAGCATTACTAAGAGAAGTCTCTGTAATCTGTATAATTCCGATAATCCAAATTTGGATTCAATGAAACGGAAATGGAAAATGCAGTTATGTTCCCTTGCGCGTGTGTGTTGGACATATTTTTATTATTAGAGAAATATGACACAAAAAGAGAGAGAGGGAGAGAGAGAGAGAGAGAGAGAATAGATCTCTCCTCCGTTCTCACGAGATAACATACACCAAACTTTTAAGGAGAGCAAGATAACGCCAAAAGCAAAGACACGACAACACTGAGTACGCTGGCTGAGATATATAGAGATCGAGAGAGAGAGATGTAAGATGATCCTAAGAGGAGAGCTGACCACAATCCGCGACAACCACCGGCTTGGATGGCTTCCCAGACGAGGATCCGACCTTCTCGATGGCCTTGACCACGTCTAAACCTTGGACGACCTGGCCAAACACCACATGCTTACCGTCAAGCCAATCGGTCTTCACGGTGCAGATGAAGAACTGAGATCCGTTGGTGTTGGCACCGGCGTTCGCCATCGACAGGATCCCAGGTCCCGTGTGCTTCCTCTCGAAATTCTCGTCCTCGAACTTGGCCCCGTAGATCGACTCTCCTCCTGTTCCGTTCCCGGCCGTGAAATCTCCTCCCTGGCACATGAAATTAGGTATCACTCTGTGAAACTTTGATCCCTTGAAGTGTAGAGGCTTCCCGCCACGCCCGACTCCTTTCTCTCCCGTGCACAGAGCTCTGAAATTCTCAGCCGTCTTAGGGGTCTTATCCGTGTATAGCTCCATCACGATCCTTCCCGCCGGCTGCCCGTCGATGGTCATGTCGAAGTAAACCTTAGGAAACGCCATTTCTTTGTTGTTGAGTGAAACGAGAGAGAGAGAGAGAGATCTTTCTCAAAAACAAGAGTTTGTTGTTGTGGATGGAAGAAAGAGGATTTAGCGGTGAGGTTACGGTCTTTATAGCCAACGCCCGAAGGGAAGCGGCACAGAAATATCATCAGATTGTTACACGTGGGGTGATCTCAACGGCTTTTTTATCTTAACCGTGGTTAGGTTAGAGTTTGACCACCGGTTTATTAGGAGGGGTCTGTCTGTCAAGTGCGTGAAGTGGGATGAGAGAACGAGAGAGTATCTTCTCATCTCAGACTTGGCATATCCCTCTGCACCCAACGTGTCCACCGTCTCATACGTTTCAAAGCCATACTACTACAACAAACTACGCCTATTTTACCTGATTTGTCGTTACTTCCCCACTTTAACGTTCCATTTTCATATTTAATTTTAAAATCTTTAATTTTGTAACGCATAAATTTAAGTATTTTGATCCCACACATTCACACGTGTGATCAACCCTAGAATGAACAAGAAAATCTAAGCAAGTTAAGAGTTACGACTCGTGTATATTACATATATTTGTAAAGGAAACAAAACAATTATTCTGAGCTGCACTTTCTGCGGTCTAGAATGAGAGAGTACCAATCAAAAGAATTCGTTGAGGTAAGCGATTTATAAAAAAAAATAAAAAATGAAATCAACGTAAAGGAGTGGATACCATACCATGCACGACATGAGCCGAAATTTTTTTTAAAGTTATGGCTATGATTTAAAAAGAATATATTATATATTATATAATTGACTAACATATAAGTCATATACCAATGATACAAAAGCTGGTTCAATCAACTCATAGAGGAATCTATAACAAATTACATACGTACCACATTAAGCCCGGATCTCATGACTGACAGTTTCAAACCCCTATAGCGATCCGGGATACAGAAACACAGCTATTTTCTTCAGTGAATCCATGGACGGTTCTAAGTACGTATGCACTTCAGCAGCTGATACAAAAACAACCATCAATGATGTTACCGAACAAACCCAGACATATTAATTTGATCATCAGTATAGCCTTAGCGCAAGACTAGGGAAGAAACACTTTCTTACCTTTCACTAGCTTTTTCAACTCTTTGGAGAAGTTATCCACACGTCCAAAAACAGGATGGATCCTGCAAACCTGAACAACACAGAGTTCCAGGTATAACGACATCTCTGTCGTTTGAATCAGCAAAAGGCACAACTTCTTAACTTCATCTGGAACCGCTTTCGATTTGTAATTATCACAGAGCTCAGCAACTATTGCGGTGGCTTGGTCCTGCATTTTTATAATACACATTTTACTACCAGGCGCAGACAATATATATATTTTAAATGTAGTTAATAACTGTTCTTGTTCTCTGAGTTATCGTACCTGTAGACCGTGCAAAATCTCTGGCTCTGGAAGCTCAGGGAAATGAGCAAGATCGACATATCCCACCTCTTCTGCACGTTTAACAACACCCTCTGCCTGTAAACACAGAAATTTCAACAAGACAAAAGCCACTCTATATATCTGTACTGCTACCGAGTCTGTAAACTGCGATTGAGTAACAGATCCAGGATCTTCTGCTGTGTGTCCCCTGATAACTAGCGCAGTGGAGATTGATATAGCAGTGATCTTGGGTTTCCCAACACAAACTAAAGGTGCAAGGGCAAACCATCCGTGTTTGCTGTTGATGATAGACGGTCTTTTGCAAGAATCAAACTCTTCTTTCACTATTGGAGGGCATAACAAATGAGATGTTTGGCCCTGAGACTCTCTAAGGCGTTGAGCACCTTTGCTGATAAAGGCCAAGAGATGTATAGTCATTTCTCTTAAGGGAGAATCCATCCCCTTCATAATTTTAACCCATGACCTCCAGTGGCTAGCTAATGCACACATCAGAAGGAGAGTATGCTCGGTTTCTCTCAGATAGGCCAGGGAAGTCCATGTCCGTTGACTTCGTGGTCTCACTTTGTCACGATCATCAGAAGGGAAATCTGGTGCAGCAAGATAGTATGAGATCATGAAACCTTTCTCTAAGAAAAAGTAAGATATTACACTCTCCACAATATCAGCCCCTGTAGAAACAGATACTAGAGAATGAACCATGGCAGTAACCACAGCCAAACCGATCCCCCAGATATGCTGAGGTTTTTCTGTCTTTTCACGTAACGAGCCCTTTTCATTGTCAGATACCAAAGACATTCCATCCGGAACATCCACAAACAAAGCTCTTAAAGTCGAGAAAAAACCAGAATTTAGAAGCATCTGAGCACCGCCGTTAACTTGAGCAATAGTTAAGAAAAATTTCAGTATTGCTGAAACAGATACCGTGGATTTCTTATCCTGAAGCTGTAGAATAACATGTTGCAGTCGGAGTTGACTCTGTATAATAGGGAACCATGTCTCAGGCGTCAAAAAATTTCTGAGAATCAGGTCTACTGTGGTCAGGCAGAGAGCCAGGTACTCGGGATTCCCCATGAAGTTACAGAGAAGGGGTAATAATCCAATTGTAGCATCAGATATTTCTGCGAAATCTTTGGCTGGTACCATATGGCCTGCACCACTCGAGTTTGAGTTGTGTGAACCAAAACCCACAACCAGGAGCAGCACCTCAAGCAGGAGGTTTATCGTCTTCTTCAATACAGCATTTGAATGCCTCAAGCTACCAAGGATTTTGAGGCCAGGACCAACATTTTTCAGGACAAGTGCACATATAGATAATGACAGACTTTTCTTTGCGGATTTCAAGAGGCGGGATAGCAAGTCTGCCTGTGCTGTAAGAATATCAAACACAATCTTGGGTGCATCCCAGAGAGAGGCAAGTGAATCAACTGTGGAGCAGAATTTTCGACACAGTCCATCAATGCTTGAAAGTGTGACTTGAGAAGGGATTTTTCTTTCAACAGCTGCAGTTTCTTCGAGAGACTGCACATAAGGTGTAGCATTTAGATGTATCCAAATCATCAATTAAGATCCCAAAAGAGGGACATGCAGCAGTACAAGTGTCTAGTACGTTTAATTCAGCTATCAATTAAAACGTCCAATGGTGGAAACCAAGAACAATCTAGCCCATAAATGAATTATAATGGGATAAGTCTCAGAAAAGCTAATTAAAACAAAGGAACTTACATTATCCTCGTAAAGTATCATGACGGAAATCAATGCATGCAAAACAGAGAGCTGCGAAGTCGAAAGTAAAACCATCAAGTTTTCCCTCTGCATGTAACTCAACATTTCCTCTGCTGTTGTTTTAGATGTCTTCCAGTCAGAGAAATCCCAAAGATCAATACCTAATTCAGCCTTTATTTGCTGCGTGTCGAACAAACAGTCCCCCAATGCCATATTTACGTCCTCATTAGTTTTCTGTTTATATTTCTCCCAAACGCTAGACTCAACTAGAAACTGGAAAAGCTCTTTGAATGGACCAGTTGGGATGTCACGACCCTCAAGTTTTCCTTGTAGATGACAGTATAGATCGCTAAAAATCATAGGCATCAACTCCTTTCCTCCACTAGCAATAGAACACAGTAGATTATAAGCAAATGTGACATGAGAATGACTAGTTAAGGATACAAGGAAAAGCATTGTCAGCTGAAAAATAAATACGTAACTGAAACTGAAAATAAGCAAAGCCATGCTGGAAAACTAAAAACATAAGAAATAATGGTCTTACCTATAACCGAGTTTTGAATATTGCGCCAGCAACTCAGAAAAAGCCGGTTGAGCACAGAGCTGTGAGCATATTGTTAAACGGGCATCAGAATCAGATATGACAAGGCCTTGAAAAGGGTGTTGAAAGGGCCAAAGAATAGATCGAGCCAAAAGAGAGGAAGATACCATTTCTGATATGAGTTTGATCTTCCCAACTAAAACCATAGACAATGGTCCAGCGCCAGATGTTTCCAGTTTCACAATTAAATGTACAATAAGTAAAACAGCAGCAACCTATCAATGCAAAAAGTGAGCGACATTTCAAACTTCTAATTACTATTTCTAAAAGATGGAACTGTGGTGAAACTATACTGCTTGTACTTGAAACAAATGTGCGTCACATAAATCTCAATAAAAATAATTCAATAAGAAAACCAGTCTAAAGAAATACGTGCCTTTGCTTGGAAGTTTATTTCACTTTCAGCATCTAAAGCAGAAACGGACTGGATAAGGCCATCCAAAACAGATACGTCGCACCATTCTGAAAAGATATCCTTGGGATCTGAATCAGCTGTCCAAGTTATTTTGGGTGGAGATACTGCATTATTTTTCTTCGGCTCCACACATGGCTTTTTCAGTGACTCCGCAAACAGCAACTTCTTGTACAAAAACATGTTGCAAGCCATAATTTCCAAAACAGAAGACTGACACTGATATTTCACAAACAGTTTAGAAATATCTTCCTTGCCTAAACTTCCAATCGTCGAATCTTTTAGCTTAGACACCTGTGATATAATTTTGGAAAATTGCTGCCACAACTTCTTTGATGCTTTAAACGGTTCCAGCATATTAGCGTATTGGCCAGCCTCTTGCCAAAGGGTTTTCAGGAAATCAAGTAAACCCAGTAATATATCTGTGTATCTGGAGAAGGTTAAAGTTTAAACCATCACATAAATATTACTGGCTAATATTCAGTGTAATTAGAAGACGGATTAAAATGTGTTTAGCCTTCAACGTACCTATCGACAAAGTCGGAGGCTCTCTCAACATATTGCAGGATAGTGTGCAATAAGAGAGATTTACAAGCCCAGTCAGGAATTGAGGAGGCATCTTTGCCTGACTGTTTTAAGTTCCCAGCATCTGAGTCTTCGTTTGAATCAAATATGGCAACTAAAAGAGCAGGCTAAAGATAAAAAATATTAGAATGAAATTTTTTTCCATTATAGAGAAACAGAAGAATCTAAATGATTTCAAGAAGCACGATTACATAGCACTAACAGCAATATAAATAGTCCCAAAAGCCAATGACAAGTAGCACTAACAGTAATATCAATAATCCCAAAAGGCTGTGACAAGTAAATCAATGAAAGAATGGCAAGCAACCTGATATCTTGCCGCAACAGTTAGGAGTTTCAAGGTAGCAATGACTAGATCTTCATTCTGTCCCGATAGATCAAGTACGATCTGGGTAACCGAATTTCTTAAATCTGTAATCTGAAGATAAAACCATCATTCATCCTTACATATAGACAGCAGAATATACTACATGAACAAAATAGATAAGAATGATATAATTCTAACCTGTTTACTGTCTAGACCAAAGCCTGCACTACTTATCATATAGAGTTGTGATGATTCTGCCAAGGTAAATAACTTTGACAGCACTTTAGCACCGGAAA